AATCCCGTATACAGGTAAACATAACCACTCTGTACATGTACCTGGACCGTAGTTTAACCCCCGCCTGGGGCACTTACGTAACTCGTCGTGTAAGACCGGGGTGTGAAAATCCAGGTGAAGGGGAGCTATAGGCAAGCAAATAACAAATACTATTCATTACGGTCATACGATATCGCTTATCAGCTATGTGTGTCAGTCACTGGTCAGGTAAAACTCACTCATCAACTTGTTATTTACCTGTTCGGTTACCTTGGAGCCAAACCCAATCTTGACAGCCTAACGGTCGCTGTAAAACTGTGTAACACGCATTGTGAAATTGTATAATCTTGATTATTGTGATGAGAAATTACAGATATATTCAAAGTGTACACTATCGCATACGAGCCTTCCGTATTTTTGTCATTCCGTAGTTTTGATTTACAAATTATACCAAATCGCCCCGTTGTGCGCTTCTCTCCGCACAACCGTTAAATCGCACAGTTGTGCGCACTATTTGTGGACGATGTTCGGACGGTGTGTGAACGATGTATGCACGGTGTGCGCACGCTATTTTTGGTGCGTTGTGCGGTCACACAACTGTATTACACATGCGTAGTCGGAAGAGGACAACTTCCTCCCTGTAGTCAGCTTTACTTGTTGCATTGAAACTCATATTAATTTGAATTACAAATAACTAATATATTTTATACAAGTAAAATAATTTCCTCCTTACTATTTATGTTGCTAATTTGTTTTAACAAAATTCGCTATGGCAGATTTAAAATCAGAATAAAGTAGATTGACATCTCGTGTTTGTAAGTTAAGGGCTAACGCAATCATGTCTACATTCTCGTGTTCATTTTATTCCGACATGATTACGTATCCAGTTTGAAGTCATTAAGGTTTAAACAACACTGTAAAAACAGACATTCACAAAGAATGAATTTATATCAAATTAAAATAAATAGGTTTAAAGGGGTAAAACATGTAAGATTATTGTAAAATACATAAAAATTGTATTTTGATGATCAAGTGAGTAACAAAATCAAATATAGCACGCAAGTTAAATCCCAGAAAGGTTTCTTGGAGGAACTTTGAAAGAATATGTAGCATTGTTTAAAATCAGCGCATTTAACCGATCACGCATAAAACATTTGACTGTAAACGGTTGATTATATGTGTGACAGTTATGTTGGTCTTGTGTAAAATGCTAACATGTGTGATGTAGGAATGGTCTATGCGCAGTCGCGAGAGGACAACTTCCTCTCGGCTGTCTGCTCTACCTGTCGTATATCAACCCAAAGTATGTTTGCAATTAAATGACAATGTCACCAATTCAAATTCGTTTAACGACTCCCAGGTTATTTCAAGTTATGTTTTGATACCTGTCTAAAGACCGATGAATTCTAACCTGTGATCAACTCTGTTGAATTCAGTATGCACTGAGAGTACGAACTCTATGTTGACAACGCATTGTTTTTACAATTATTGTATTAGTGTGATACATGTATGCATTCCGTGCCGGTTTGGTTTTATTTAATATCTAAGATGATTATAGGACGTTTCTTAATGTGTATTGTGTATGCGAGATTGCGTGAGCGTGTTCTAGAGACAGGAATCTTAATATGAATACGATGTACTCTGTATACCACAAGCCTACCATTATGTTTTCGTTCCGTAACATTGATCAGCCGATTATATAAAAGCACTTATATGTACGCATAATATCACACAACGGGGCTACATAGTGTAACAATCGTCAAAACGCCCCATTGTGCACACGTTAAGTGCGTTGTGTAGTTATCATCGGTAGAGGATTACTTATACGTGGATGACTCTCAAAACATATGAATATATTCGCAAGACAATTACATCAATCTTTAAATAACTATCAGATCAGTGCTGATAAAAACGGTTTTAAACATTCTAAATTCTAAACGGTGTGCTTGCATTTTTGTCAATTACGTAAAAGCAATGATGACCCAAATATCACCCTTTACCACCACTGCCGGTTGGATTTTGTTTTATTTTGTTTAACATCCTATTAACAGCTAAGGTTATTTAAGAACGTTCCCCCATATGTGTTCTGCAAGCGTGTACGTGATCCGGACACATGGTATGTTGGTGTACTTGCCTCCTTGTGATAGCGCGGATCTAATGCCAACTTTATAGTGATATCTCACTGAAATACCATGCCGAAGCCTGCCCAGCACAGCATTCCGTCCGGTCACATTATACTGACAACGTGTAAACCCGTTGTTGCCGTTTCCCCGTATGCTGAACGTTATGTAGGGAAATAACAACTACCATTTAAAAGGACTTCGGTATGTCCCGCAATTTTCAATTTGTTTTCTCTTTGATATGTTTAATTTTTGATTATTTTTTTTCGAGTGGTTTTCAGTGGATGAATTAATGGTACAAAAGATGGATTTTTAAGATTTTAAAGAAATACCCCTACTGGGTCCAGATCCTCTGCACCCAAATCCTCTTTTGTTTTACAAAATGGAGTCCCATTAGTCAAGGATGCTCCAAGCCAAATTTTGTCAAAATCCCTCCAATGGTACAGAAGAAGGATTTCAAAGATTTCAACCCAAATTCCCCTATTTGGCCCCCTCTTCACCGACAGGGGCCATATCCCCCGTTCATATAAAATTGAGTTCCTTTGTCCATAGATGCTCAAGGTCAGATTTAGTCAAAATCCATAATTCTATTTAGGACTAGTAGCTTCTGAAAGGAAATGTTTGATATTGTTCACGTCATATTAACAGCTATGGTTATATCAGGACATGCCACCATGTGTGTTGTGTATGCGTGCATGTGTGTATATGTGCTGCATGGACCGACGAACGCCGCGGTACGGCATAAAGTAACAAAGGTACTTCAGGCCAGATGAGCTAAACATCAAACCAAAGCATTTTTTCCAATGAATCTTTTAAACAAAAAAGATAATGGCTAGAGTAGTGTTGATTACTTTATTTGGTAAGCAAACGATAAATATATGTTTTATGTTGTATAACATTCAATATTCACTGTTAAGTTTACATGGATATTAAACATTTGATTTATGTATTTATGTTTAATTCAAAATTAGCTCTGATTGTGGAATAAGAAAATGATAAAAAGATAACAAAAACAATGCAATGAGTTAAAATAAAGACGTCAGCATTTAACAACAACTAATGAACGGTTGCATCACCTCGCGGCCAATTACCCCAAGAGAGAAACATCATTATAATCATAGGTATGAGTCATTAAACAACCTAAGGCCAATTACCCCAAGAGAGAAACATCATTATAAGCATAGGTATGAGTCATTAAACAACCTGAGGACAATAACCCTAAGAGAGAAACATCATTATAATCATAGGTACGAATCATTAAACAACCTGAGGCCAATTACCCCAAGAGAGAAACATCATTATAAGCATAGGTACGAGTCATTAAACAACCCGATGCCAATTACCCCAAGAGAGAAACATCAGTATAAGCATAGGTACGAGTCATTAAACAACCTGAGGCCAATTACCCCAAACATGAGTTACTATTACAATCATAGATATTGGTCATAAACAGATTAATATTGTATAACTCTCATTTGCCACGAAGGTGGGGTTCTAAGCCGCCTTCCGAAATAGGTCGCCATCGTGTAAAGTCATAACACAGTAATTCTCAAAGAAGAACATTGACACAAAAAGGAAATTCAATAGCAAATACATTTCTAATTGTAAAGATCAATCGATTGCAAACAGTTATATGGTAAATGTTCATATATCAAAATTTAATATCATGTTTTTTTTCCTATTGCCATACAGTTGATCAACCCTTTACAGTCAAGCATTTTATGATTGAATGTGCTGATTTCGAACAAATATGTGACAGATTATATAATGTACCCTCTATGAAAAGTTTATTTGATACAGTTTCTGCGCAATCAATATATGAGCATTTACAAAACTAAAGACAACTTTAGAATACAACCTCACTGAAATACTCTCCCGAAAGTATCCAGAAGTTCATTAATGTTATTATTATTATTTTTCAACTTTCAATCAACACAGAAGATGTCATTAAGGACAATAAATGGTTGATAAAACATGCAAGGAAATGTTTTGTTTTGTTATTATTTTACTGCCCATCGAAAATACAAGTCATTTAGAGCCAAACAATACTAGTGCTGTAAAAATTAAACTTTCGCCGAAAGGAATTCTTATATGACAAGAATTATGACACACCACAACCTGAAAATTACATCATGTATAAGTGGGTACGGTGAGGTATGTCTTTTGGGAGTGATCAATAGCATTAAATCAGGTAGCATTACATCATAAATTATAGATTTTTACAGTTCCTATATCATACTAGTTTTAACAGTCCAACCTTAACAAAACCTTTCTGGAAGGGATAGTTGTTTAATCTTCATGTGGCTGAAGGTCCATGATATCTAAATATGTACGAAGTATTTTACCGTTATAGGCTATATTCTTTGTATGAAATATGGACATTTTGAATTAACAACGACTATTAGAAATGTAAACAATGAAGCTAAAGGGCTGTTATCAGCTGGACAATATCTTCTTTGTTTTTCAGTCAAAACAATGGAAAATGTCCTTAATGTGTCATATATATGAGACTATATGTAAATTAAATGTTTCATATCCAATAAATTTACAATATCACTTCATAAATTCATTTTCACCCAAGATAAAATCCTTGCCATACCTATGCGTTAATCATCAACGCATAGTGTGACTCGTGCGAAATGTTATGTACATATCTGCATTAAGTAAAGTGACGCATTCATATAATGGTTTTCGTGAACACTTGCGATACTAATGCATCAACTCTTGCATCGCTCAAGGAAAATAATGGATATCAAACATATGCTAATGAATAAGTACGTACATGTAGCTGACCAATTATCTTTCTCTGAAAAAGCCCTGCATTTGAACATTTGTCTTAGCCTAGTGTAGTGTTTTTATAACAATAATCGATATTTTTGTTCAGATTTCCGTTCTGTTTATTTATGTCTTTGCTAAAACCGCCATGATGTGAATTCTACCTTTCTCGTCACCAATCCAAATTTGGCCATCCGGATCTGTTGCTATTGCGCCATCACAAGTTTTTTCTTCTGCAGTGTAGATGCACTTTGCATTTCCTCCAGACACATCTACGGAACAAACCTTGTTCCAACCAGACCCCGTGAGTGTAACGAGAAATCGTTTGTCGTTGTTAATGTTACAGAAAGATACATCAAATGGTACAAATGGAGAAATGTTCGATTCTGACTTCATTTCCCCGTTCCAAGTTGATCTAGTGTTTCCGTCCCTGTCAATCACTTTTACGAATCGACCAGTATCCTTCCAGTCGATGACAGCCATGACACCACCCAGAGTACAGCTCACACGACCAGGTTCGAAGAAGCCAATTTTCGCAGTGCATTCAAGTTCTTTAGCTGTTGATTTTGCGATAGACATCTTCGCCAACCTAGTCGGTTTTGATTTGTTTTTCGAACAGAGGCACACTATGACATCTTCACCTGTGAAGCAAATGCCTCTTGTGGTGTAAGCTGAATCAAATGCGTGCAGCGATACCGACTCTCTGTCCTTGGTTAATTTCTTAAGCTCACAGCCATCCCATGTTGTGTATAGTATATCACCAGCAGGAGATAGACAGAAGTCCTCAACGCGCTCACCAAAATTCCTTGTTTCAAGAATTTGACCATTGTAATCTATGAGATGTAATGCTTCGTCCCTGTAATGCAGTATCCATGCCTTCGATGAGTCGACGGGCCAGATCGACCTGATGAAACTGCTTTTTGAAGTCTTGAAGGAACAAAGCTCGGCAAGTTCTTGATCTTCAGTTACCCATTCTAAACGACCAATCGCTTTAGGTATAATGCCCATGTGATAATGTGATTGGATAAACTCTAGACGCTTGCAGCGCGTATACTGACTTCTAGATGATTTCAGATCCTTTGCTTTCAGGTATTTTTCTTCGATCGAATCACGTTGTCCCTTCAGGATTCCGTCCATTAATCGCGCTGTTGCTGCCTCATTTTGACGAACATCCGCAATCTTCTGAACCATTTCCTGACCGGTCTTTTGAACTTCTTGAATAACAGAATCCACGCTTGTCTTTGCTTTCCTTTCCAGTGATTTGATAGCATTAATGACAGAATATTGTTCGGAAGTTAAATCCTCTAAAACTTTTTTAACTTCCTTCATTGGTATTTGTGTATGCTTTTCATGGTTGCTACACTCCAAACATATTTTCCTCTTGCAGGTTTCACATAAAAGGGTTGCCTCATTCGCAGGATGGGAAGCACATTTTGTTGTCATATTTGTTCTTAGGTCCAAAATACAGAAGACACGAGACGTCCTTTAAGGTCGGGGGATACTGCAAACTGCGATATGTATAACTATGAACATGGATATTTATCAGATTATTAATAATCGAGTCAAAATTGTTAAAACCATATCATCAAGAAATGTTATCATGCATATCATGATATTTAATTCTGAAGCATATACAAAAACGTTGAAAATGTCTTAACGTACAAGAAGCACAAAGGTAACCCGTGAGCTGACCCGTGCACATTGTATGGCACCCAACATTGTTCAATCGAATCAATTATTGACACATATACACGTCGATATCGTCTGTCTACATGAACACAATAGACTAGTACAGAGGCTTCTAAATCCGACACAGTTTATCAGTGATACATATTTTGAAACTATTTAGTCCAGTTTTAGCTAATCGCATATCAGTTAAAACATGGCAGCTGATCAGATCACCCTAATCTTCAAACGGCTTACTTGTTAGGTATATACATGTATGTAAAAATATTATATAATATTTATATAAGAGCTGTGTCAATAGATACATATATGTATATCACAAGATTTATTTACTGCCCTAGTGGAAGAGAACGTGTTTCTTTGTTTTTACAGGATAGACATTTTGGTTTGTCACGCTGTTATAGGATGTCACTTCCAACCAACAGCTAAGATCATGAATTTACATTTGTATGGCATTGTCACGTTATAGGCTATTAGAAATCTGTGTCGCTGATGGGACTTTAAATACCATGCACCACGAGACATTATTCTTAGCGCATTAATACAACATCGACCGAACTACAATATCCAGTGTTAATGAACATGACGGCTGCTGAAATATCGCTGGGCATCATGAAACATGACAATGTAATTGAAATTAGTAAAAGAAAACAAAATATTAGAAAAATATACTTTTGTTACAACAAAAACAAGACCAACGTCTGCAATATCGTACAAAATGCACATCGGTTGAAATAACCAATGCCGGCAATGGAAAAATGTTTAACACTCATGCAATTTATCAGAAATATCATCTGTACACTGCACTGATTCACAGGGGTTCGTTACAAATGTCTGAAAAACACATATGTTATAGACCTTTTGATATGGGTCACAGAACACATAATTATACAAAAGGCATCTGTGTATTTTAGACATTGTAACGAACCCCTGTGCTCTGTCTGAAGATCACTCACATCAAAAACTATCAGTATCACGCGTCTATCAGTCACGGTTTCTTCAGTTTCTGACGACATTTCAAATAACGAGGTTGTTGTAGAATCTACCGACTGTATTCAGGTTCCCATACAATCAACAAATACATTCACGTCTGGATTTTTCGCAAATTCGAACGTTCCTCTCTGCTCATTCATCTTCCAAAAATAACACCCTCGTGGGGGCAAGGTCGGATTACGGTGTACACTGTATTTATCCATGCGTGAAAGTTTGTTCTGGAGGAAAGTTGAAACAATTTGAAATCTTACTATCAGCTCAGATTTCTATTGATAACTAAAATCACACTATAAACATATCATAAACAATTGTATTGACACAGAATTGTGGAATTGAACGAATTTGTTTGAACTCTCGATAAGGCGGGACTTTTAAAGTTTAGATATAAATTGTAAGTTGCATTATGATGTTGGCTTCCAAAGCTGTGTCAATCAAATAGATCATAAATACCATACCAAAACAGTTCAATGCTTAATTAAGGACGTGCCTCCAGGTGTGGATTAAAATTAACATGAGTAATCGAGGTAAAATAAAGAATAGTGTTTCCCCTGTCACAAAGGCAATACATGTTTTATTATATCGCAATATAACAATCACAACAGGGTGAAGATGATAACGATTATATGCTATTGTTTTTTGTCTGCTTAAGTCACTCGAAGTTCAGGCCCCGGAATCTCGAAACTTCTTAATTCTCAATTTTTACCTTTTCATTCTGAAGCTTAGTACGTACTTTACTGAGAATTTCTTGAATTGGTATACCTCGAAAGCGTTCTTAAATACTAAAGAACGTTTTAACTAAGAATGTGTTTGTTGATACATACGTGCCCTAATTGGAACTCTTTAATGAAAAAGCCTATTGGGTTATCTTTGAAGAAAATATCATTTTAACGTGTTCACTATAATGTTAAATTTGTCAAGCCAGACAAATTTACTAACCGGTTACTCGCAAAATCTTCTGACCGAGTAACCGGTTAATCAGTCAGTAAGGTAATCAAACAATTAACAACGATAACTACATTATATGTAATACTTCTCTCATTAACGAAGCAATTTAAAATGCGTGGAACGAGATTAACAGGTTGTACCGATATTGGTAATGTATTAAGACAGATTTTGTTTTAATTGGCATTAATAGGGTGCCATCAATAAGAAAAACTATGACATTAATTGTTGCATTCACAACATTTCCTTTACCGAAATTCTGGGTAAGAAATATTTGAGAAAAGGTGCCGATCATTATGTATGTACTCGCGATATGAACATTTTACACTCGGGTGGGGTCAGAACCTGCCCCAATCCGAATCCTTTGGTAAAATTTTCCTATTCCCCATAACCAAATAGGCCATATTAGTTATTTGCTATCTACCGATGTGTGATTTTATGGACATCTTGTGATATAAGACTGTATTGAAAGGCCCCAAAGGCTGGTTTTCTAATTATATCCAAAGTGTTGGATAATTATGAATAAATAAATAAATAAATGAAAAATAACTATAAACACCGTGCCTTTCGTCTCCTTACTCGTTTTTAGCGGCTGAATTTTAGGACTGATCAAACAAATACAGTTGGCCTTTTTGTGTATTTAAGCACGTTCTTAAATATTTAAGCATGCTCCTAACCACTCTCAAATATTTAGCCCATTCTCATCTTAAAATTTCAGAATGGAGACTTAGGAATCTTTCAGATACACTTTTTTTGAGAATATGCTTAAAGTTAAACATATAATTAAAGATAAGAATTGAGAATGGTTTAAGAACCTTTGCGATACACTTTTTTTAAGCATATGCTTAAAGTTGAGCAAATGCTTAAAGCTAAGCACTAAGAATTGGTTTAAGAAGTTTCGAGATTCCGGGGCCCGGTGTAAAGTTTCGGGTTTATATTTTCTTAACATGCTCCGAATAAAGGAAACTCGAGCACACGAGGTGAACACGCATGTCACGTAATCAATGTAAATAAATTTGACATGCTCTTATATATTTATGGTATAATGTATTTTTTTGCGTTATACTATGTACATTGTATCTATATGGAGGCCAGTTTTAGACTTTAACAGGTCAATGAACGATGACGTCTTTGGAAGCGACATTTCCCTATCATATAAGGAACATTGGTTTTACTATTGATAACTGCGCTGGAAATTATACAGTTCGGGACCTATTTGAACTTGTCTGCATATCAAACATGATTAATAATCAATTTGAAAACGTTGATTAAAATTGTTCTGAATAATGTTAAATAAGGTATTCCAAAATTGCTTTTCGAAGCCTTTAACGAAGTACTACAGGTACTTTACCTTCAGCTACCCTTTTAACTCGGTCAATATTTTAGGTAAAATTATCCTGTTTTGTTACTTCAATCGAATTACCTCCGTTTTTTGATTTCTTGTATTAATTTCTTTGTGTATATGTCGTTTTTACGAGCATTTGCAAGCTGCTTTATCATGTCTGTACCGGCATTTTTTATTTTTGATAGCAGCAGCCACACATTGGTTCATCTTCCTTTCCATTGATTTTATATAATTGATAAACTGGAGATCAGAATATAATATAAGCAAACGCTTTCCCAGGGTCCTTCAGTGGTATTTGTTTGTTTTTATGGTTGCTACAATCCAGACATATTTTCTTTTTCAAGTTTTACATAAGATTGGCATGATTGAGAGCACATATTGTTGCCATGTTTGTTTTCGCTCGCCGATGCTTAAATATCACGCATATAAATACTATACAATGCAAAATCTAGGCGGATCTACCACTAGCAGAGTAGCTATATTCCTAATGTAGACCTAAAGCAAATACCATTGTCTAAAATGAGCCCTAACCCCACAAACAAATATAACAAAAATATCGATAGAGTAATAGATAGCCTACTAATATGACTAAAAATACCAAATTCATGCCTTGTAACGTTTCAATTGAAAACTCTTTACCATTGATAAAGCGCGTGCGCAATGTATTGCACCCCACAGCGTTTAATCGAATTAATCGTTAAGACATATATACGGCGGTATCATCTGTCTACATGAACACAATAGACTTGGACACAGGCTTCCAATACTTCGACACAGTGTATCAATGATACATATTTTGAAATTATTTAGTCCAGAAATTACCAATCGCTAATAACAAAAGGCCATGGCAGCTGATCAGATCTTTCTAATCTTCAAACGGCATGCTTGTTAAGTATAAACATGTACACGGATGTCAAAATTATTTCTTTGTGACAATAGAAACAGGAGGCCAAGAGGTCCTGTAATGCTCACCTTGATATGTTTAAAGTACTTGTTATGAGGTAACGAAATAGCACTCCGTGGAAGGTACTTTATGTACGTATTTCAGAAAGATGTCAAAATCCAAAATGGCGGCCTGGTAGCCATCTTGTTTTAATGAATACAACCTTATAGTAATAGGCACTACTAGACAACTTAATGGAGACAAAATTGGGACACAATCTCGTAATATCTATGGTAGAAGGAGAATTTCTAAGGTTATACCTCTATTTCCCTTATTGGGCCGCGCCTCTATGGCAAGGGGGGCAACACCCACTGTTTATTTGAAATTGGGTGTCCTTGGCCGAAGGATCCTCCAGACCAAATTGAGATGAAATCCCTAAATCCCAATGGTAGAAGGAGTTTAAAGGTTTTAACTCTATTTCCCCATATACGGTCCCGATCTTCTGCCTCTTCAGTCATGTTCTTCACTTTACAGTGAGAACTTATCCCATAATGTTGTCGTTGAACAGCACCATTTCGTAACCAAATTCTGTGC